TGGGTCTGAATATCCCTGTCAGCTGCCGCCGCTGGGCCCGTCTACCTCCACCGGTCCCCGCCGCAGGCTTACCTGCGTCTGCTTGTCTCTGCCGCCGGGCCTGTCTACCTCTGTGGACCGCCGCTGGGACTGAATGTCTCTGCCGGCTGCCGCCGCTGGGCCCGTCTACCTCAGCGGGCTGCTGCTGGGCCCATCTCGGCATTTGTCTTTTTCACATGGAGTTCTGCTTGCCTGTCTTGTCCTTTAATCCTGGATGGAGGTGGGGTCAGACCCCATTCTGCCTTATCCTTTTTGTTGCCCTGCTGAATTGCAGGTTTCTTCTGTTGATTGACAAGAACTGCAGGTTTCTTCTGTTGATTGACAAGAACATGTGCTGACTGAGAGAAGAGGGTGGGACTGGGGGCTGTAGGCAAAGCTGGCACTAAATCTGGCAACTGTGCAAAGGAATGAACTCCTCAAACTGGCTCTCCTTCCATCACACCCCTGATACTGCAGAAGGAACCAGGACTGACAGCTGCAACGGTTCCTGAATTAGGTGCCCTAAATCGAGGATAACTCCAGGGTGCAGACTATCTGGGTGGACATTCTCAAGATTAAGTAGACAATGTAAAAGTGGTTGGAGATTGTGTGCTCTTCGAAGAACAGAAGTTGTCCTTGAGTTTCTCCTGGTAACATCTGCCCTGCGATGCTGAAGATAATGCTCTGAAGCTGTGGCCACATAGAGAATTGACAAAAATGTACTGATTTTTATAAGAAAAGGAAATGCCACTGAGGCTGGACTGGTAGGGTGGCTTCCTTGCCATCAAGGGAACGGCTCTGTGCTTTTCCTGTAGGAGACTGAGATGACAGCTGGGAAGGAGAGCTGAAGCACTGGGTGGCCCTCAGTCCGCACAGTAGTCAACAGTGGAGCCATTTTTCTGTAGTACTAAACATCTCATCACAGTGGGTATCAAATAGCTGGATGGATATGTCAGATTTTTTAATATGTCAGATTTTTATAGAAGTAGTTCCCATACTGGGTGGAAATTCAAATTCTTCTAAGATTGATAACCTATAATTACGAAGAAAAATAGGATAGTTCTTTTAGTAAGTGCTATTAGCCAGATGTTGTGGTTCACACTTTAATCTCAATACTCAGGGGACTGAGGTAGGAGTATTGCAAGAAGTTGGAGGCAACTTGGACTACACAGTAAATTTTAGGCTGGCCTAAGATACAGTATGAGACATGCCCCACCACCCTTTTGTGACAGGGTCTCTACGTCTTCCTGGCTATTCTGGAGCTCCCTATGTACACCAGGCTAGTCTTGAACTCACAGAGATCCACCTGCCTCTGCCTCACAAGTGCCAGGATTATAGGTATGTTCCATCACACCCAGCCAACAAAAGACTCATAACAACAACAACAACAACAACAACAACAACAAAAACCAACTTGGATGAGATAGCTTAGTGGGTAAAGTGTTACATTAAGCCTGATGACCTAAATTCAGTCCTCAGGGCTCATGGGGAAAGGGAAGAACTGACTCACCAAAGTTGTTAACTGACCTCCACACTTGTGATGGCATCTCATACATATACATAATAATAAATAAAATACTAAAAGATGCCAAAGCTGGCCATGGTGGCTCACACTTATAATCTCAGGATTTGGGTGTTGGAGACAGGAGGACTAGGAGGTGAAGGTCACTCATGACAATACAGTTTGAAACTAGCCTGAATGCTTGAGACCCTGCCTCTCCCCCACCCTCTCCCCCAGTCCCCCTCCTCCCCATGGAATGTGCAACAGATGCAAACTCAAATGCTGCCTAAGTCAAGGTCTGACAAGTTCCTGGATCCTTGAGGAATGTTTGAGCCTGACAATCTACCAAGTCAGCTGCCCAAGATAGATCGACCTACAGACACTGTGTCAGGCAGGGACCATAAAATTCTAGCACACATCTTGTTGGGCCCTGTGGCCTTTCACACTGTCCCCACACCCTACTTCTACCATCCATTGTTCTCCACACTAGGTGTTAATTCTGTGTTCTTCTTTTTCTTTAAATTTTTTTTTACACCCTGAGTGCTGTATTCTATCCCTTCTCTCTTCCCAGTCCCTCCCCCACCTTCCCTGTCCTCCCCACCCACTCCTCTGTTTTTGTCCAGAAAATGGCGGCCTCCCATGAATATCAACTAAACATGGCATATCAAGTTGCAGTAAAACTAGGAACCTCCTCTAGTATTAAGGGTAGTCAAAGCAATCCATTTTGAGGAAAGGGTCCTAAAAGCAGGCAAAAGAGTCAGAGATAGCCCCTGCTCCCACTGTTAAAATCCCGAGACCAAGCTATACACGTAACATATATGTGGAGTGCCTAGGTCAGTCCTATGCAGGTTCCCTGGTTGTCTGTTCAGTATCTGTGAGCCTCTATGAGGCCAGGTTAGTTGATTTTGTGGGTTCTCTTGTGGTGTCTTTGACCCTTTGGTTCCTACAATCCTTCCTCCCCCTCTTCTGCAGGATTCCCAAGAGCTGCCTAGAGTTTGGCTGTGGATGACCTGTGTTCTTAATGAGAGTGTGGGCCAGCTTAAGGAAAGGAGCCACTGTGGTTTTATTACTTGTCTAATCTCAGCACTTGGGAAAGCAAGGGGATCTCTGTTTAAAGCTCTCCTAGGTAACATGACAAGACTGTTTCAGTTACAAATAAATGAAATGAAGCTTGATGTGATGCATGCTTGTAAAGCCAGCACTTAGGAGGCAGAGGCAGCAGAATCAGGAGTTCAAGGACAGCATCAACTACATAGTGAGTTTGAGGCCAGCCTGGACTATGTGAGATCTCAAGTGTCTAACAGCAATTCTGTGAGGGTGCTAACTCATTTAACAACCAGAGACAGGTTCTGAGATGCTACCTACCCTCCCTCACTGTCTTCTGTGCATCTCCAATCCCGGTTCAGGTGTTTTCACCACTGGAGAAGTGGCGGTTCCATGATGGGACCACTTTAGGAGGAGCAGCTGTATGAAAGGGAAGGGAAGGGGGTGGGTGGGGTGGGGAAGGGGATAAGGAGATCCTTGTTGAAGCACCTGAGACAGTGTGTTAGCAAAAGTTCTTATTTCCTTAGTCCTCAGTTTCCCAGAAGCCCAAGCTTGACCCTGTTGTCAGAACCAGCCTTTATTCAAGGCCATCACTTGCTGGATAAATTCCTTGTCACTCACTAGCCCAATGTAGGATCACTGAACTCTGCACATTATCCTGAGAAAAACATGTGGGTGATACTGGACATGGTAGCCCATAAAGTGCTTCCTTTATAAACGAGCTAGGCCTGAGCGCAGGAAGATGGTTAGAGTCAGGGTTTCTGTATTCATCAACTACCCCGTAATCATAACAAAAGACCTGACATGTGTTACTTAGGAAATGGTGTTAGTTACAATTGTATCTGTTGTGTGATAAAATTCCATGACCAAGGCAACTTACAGAAGGAAGGGTTTATTACACTCAGGGTTCCAGGGGGTAAGAGTTCATCATAGCAGAAAGCATGGCAGCAAGCAGCAGGCATGGTGGCTGGAGCAGACGCTGAGCGCTCACATCTTGAACCATGAGCACAGGAAGAGAGAGAACTGGGACTGGCATGTGGCTTTTAAACCTTCAAGCTGCTTCAAGCTTGACAGATTCTTCATCAAGGCTGTACCTTTTAAGCCTTCTCAAACAGTGCCACCAACTGGGGACCAAGTATTCAAAGGCCAGAGACTATAAGAGATATCTCATGCAAACTACTTCAGAAGCGAACAAAGGCTTATGTTGACTCATGGTTCTGGAAGTTCAAGAGTGGGTGGTCCATAGGTTTGGGTATCTGGTGAGGGTGGCATGTCGTGGTGGAACACACTGGAGTGAGTGTTCATGTCTCTAGTGGGGAAGTAGAGAAGAGGACAGTTGGGTTCCATCATTTTTTCTTTAAAGCACACTCCTAGAGATCTAAGGACCTGTCACTAGGTTCTACCTCCTAAGTCCACAGGAATTCGCACTATTGGTATCTTTGGGGATGAATCCTTCTACACAGGGGACTTTTGGGGACACCTATATTTAGACCATAGCAGTTTCTCAGAAGGCATATGCCCAAAGGCTTTCCTGGACCCAGACTCTTAGGAAAGGAGGGAAGGAAGCCATAGGTGTAGTGCCCTCCCCTAAACACCAGTCTCTGCCAAGACCAGATCCATGCAGATATAGAGTGCTTACATGCAGCAAACGTGTTCTTTGGGGCATGTTAAACCTAAACATTGAGGTGAAATGTCTTCTATAACCCTGGCTCTATTCTTGAACCATACAGAACAAATTGATGTTTCCTTTAGTGGTAGTACCTTAGCAATTGAAATGAACCGTCAGGTCCTAAATCCAGGGTTTGATTGGTTGGGGCCCCTTTTCAGTCCTGGAGAAAATTTCCAAGGGATATATGTACTTCTTTCCACTTTTAGAAATTCCTTCAGTATTGCCTTTTGAAATGTGGCCATGACCATAATCTGTGGTAGCTCCTCAAATCTGTGTTTTCTGCTAAGACCCTTGTATCCTTCCAGATGCACCTACTTACTCCCTCCCTTCCTGCCTTCATTCCTTCCCCCCCACCCTTCTCTCTTTTTGTTTGGTTTGGTTTGGTTTGGTTTTTTGAGACAGGGTTTCTCTGTGTAGTTTTGGTGCCTGTTCTGGATCTGGCTCTGTAGATCAGGTTGGCCTCAAACTCACAGAGATCCACCTGGCTCTGCTTCCCGAGTGCTGGGATTAAAGGAGTGTGGCACCACTGCCTGGCTTGTTTTTTTTTTTTTGCAACAGGATCTCACCATGTAACTCTGGCTGGCTTAGTACTCACTCTGCAGACCAGGCTTGCCTCAAACTCACTGAAATCCACCTTCCTCTGCCTTCCAAGTGCTGGGATTAAAAGAGTGTGCCACTGTGCCTGGGTTCTTTTTTTTAAAGATTAGTTTAAAAAATGATGTTGATGATTATTTTTTCCAAGACTGGATTTCTCAAGCTGGGCCTGGTGGCGCATGCCTTTAATCCCAGCACTTGAGAGACAGAGACAGGCAGATCTCTGTGAGGACATCCTGGTCTACAGAGCAAGTTGCAAGATAGGCTCCAAAGCTACAGATAAACCTTGTCTCAAAAAACAAACAAACAAGACAGGGTTTCCCTGTGTAGCTCTGACTGTCCTGGAACTCCATCTGTAGACCAGGCTGGCCTTGAACTCACAGAGATCTGTCAGCTTCTGCCTCCTGAGTGTTGGGATTAAAGGCATGTGCCACCACTGCCTGGCTCATTTTTTTTTTTTTGATTATCTGTCTTTGTGGGAATTCACATATGTTTGGGTGTGCCACAGGAAGTCAGAGGTGTTGGATCTACTGAGCTGGAGTTACAGATAGTTGTGAGTCATTTGATATAGCGGCTGGAAAGTGAATTCAAGTCTTCTGCAAGAGCAGTAAGTACTCTTAATCATAGAGTCCTAAACTTACTTTTTATTTTATATGTTGTTATGATTCTGTGTGTGATGTGTCAGTATGGGTTCCATGATGTGGAGGTCAGAGGACAACTCTGGGAATCTGTTCCTTCCACTGTGGGATCTGGGCATTGAATTCAGGTTGTCAGGTTTTCTTTGCAAGTACGTTTACCTGCTGAGCCTTCTCACTGCCCCCCCTTATAGACTCTTAACCCCAAAGTGAGGCAGCCTAAGCCAGGAAGCCCCAGATGTGTGATCACTGATACAGACTTGGTATTTTGTCAAGTAACTTACCAAATGATTTCTAACAATCACAGCCCCAGACTAGTTCACAGAAAAATTCTTTTGGGGACATATCCATTTGTTTTTGTTATCTATGGCTGCTTTTGAAAAACTTAAACTTTTTGCCCTCTGATCCTTTACAGGAGAGGCTACTTATCCCTATTCCAGGGCATTGGAAGTGGGACTTGAGTGGCCCCAGTACATGGTAGCCTCACCTCATTCTTTTTCTTGATCTTTACATTTTTATGTTGTGTTAATGTGTATGTGTGGGCATGGCAGTGCTGTGGGAGCTCCTGTGGCGGTGAGAGGAGAGCTTGCAGGAGTTGGCTCTCCCCTTCCACCAAGTGGGTTCTAAGGTTGTCAGGTCAGGCTTGGTGGCGTCTCACTGGCTTTCACATTGTTCTTTTTTTTTTTTTCTTTTGGCTTTTCAAGACAGGGTTTCTCTGTGTAGCCCTGGCTGTCCGGCTGTCCTGGAACTCCATCTGTAGACCAGGCTGGCCTTGAACTCACAGAGATCAGCTGCCCTCTGCCACCCAAGTGCTGGGATTAAAGGCGTGCACCACCACCTGGCTCACACTCATCTTGTTCTTAAGCACACTTTCATCTCTGGAACATCAGCCTGAGACTGTCAGAAGCAGGTGTATGTGGGGATTGGCAGCTTGTGAAAATGGGGCTAAAACTACCATGATCGAAGATTCCTAAAGGCTGAGCAGGGGTCTGGAGGTTCTGACTTTGGAGATGGTGGCAGTGGTGGGTGATGTGACATGTTATCAGTCAGATTTCTTATGACCACATGAGGTCTATTTGAAAATTTATGATTTAAGAGTTTATTTTCTCTTGAGTTTTTCTCTTGTTTTCCAAACAGGGCACCCACTTTCTTCTTTAAAAAATTGTGGGGTTGGGTATTTAGTTCAGTGGTAGAGCACTTGCCTAGCAAGCACAAGGCCCTGGGTTCGATCCTCAGCTCCCCCAAAAAAAATTGTGGAAGTATACATAATAGATGTTTATTATTTTAATTTTTAGAGGTTTTTTTTATGATTTTGATTTTGTACAAAAATTCTTAATTTATTTGTGTGTTGGGGTGTGCATATGGCAGTCAGAGAACAACTTCCAGAAGTAATTCTTCTCCTACTCAAACTCATTTCCAATACCCCTACCCACCGAACCATCTTGTCTGCCTTGCCTGATTTTTGAAACAGGGTCATTGAGCTCAGGCTGGCCTGGAACTCACTATGTGGTTGAGGATGACCTTGAACTCTTATCTCCCCTGCCCTCTACCCCTATGTGATAGAATTACAGGTATGTGTCATCACATCTGGCTTAATAATTTTTAATAATTCACAGTGTTTTCAAAGTATAGGAGTGCATTTTTTCTAGTATTGGTTGGATTCTGGGTTTTGCAAATGCTGGACAAGTGCTTAACACTGAGCTACACTCTCAGTCCCTTGTCTACATCTACTTAATTCTCCTCTATAAACTTGGCTGTATAAATGGAATCATTCAATGCCTGTTAGGGGTTGTCTCTTGTCTCATACCCTCATATCACATGTGGAATCCCAGCCCCTAGCGCCTTAGCATGTGATTGTATCTGAAGAGAGGCTGATAAAGAAGTAGTGAAGGTAACATGAGGTCATTGGAGTGGGCCCTAATCCAGTCTAACTGGCATCCTCACACACAGGGAAGACCATGTGAGGACACAGGGAGAAGGTGCAGCTTGAAGCCAAGGACAAAGGCCTCCGAAGAAACCACCACTGCTGATGCTTCAGTCAAAGCCTGCCAGCCTCCAGAATTGTGAGACAATACATTTCTGTGGGCCAGGATTTTCTTTTCTAGAAACCATAGCAAAATAACAGACTGTCCTTATTTTACTAGTGTAACATTTACTTAAAGGTTGACACATGTTGAAGACGTGTGTTATAGTCTCATTTCTTTGTGTGCCTAAGTAATATCTCATTGTCCAAAAGACTGCATTTTGCTTATCTGTTCATTTGCTGAGAGACACCTGGATTGTTTCCAGCTTGGCTATTGTGAATGTGCTGCTTTGAGCATGGTGTGCAAATTACCTGTTTGACACTCCAAACATCGTCCCTCCGTCTAAGAGTTGGTGCGCCGCTCTCATTGCTCTTCTCGCTTAGGTTTCAGTTCTTGGGGTTTTGTTGACACTTGTGTCTTCCCTGTATTCCCCATATCCCTCAACTCTTTTTCAATGACGTCATCTTCTTTTCTCCGATGGTGTTCACTTTGATTGATGAAAGAAGTCACAGGTATACTACTGAACCAGCTGCTTGACTTCCCTAAACCTTGAACTTGTATAATCGGAAGTGAAGAACCAGCCTGCCTCCATCGTAGGCTTAAAAGCCATCTTATAGTAAAGACAAACTGGGTCAATCGCTATTTATGATTAAATCTGTTTCTCAAGGATTGGGCTATGCCCACTTGTGATCTTAACTGCACACGGTTCTGTACTGCCTGTTCCAGGAATGGCAATCACGTCTTTGTTTCCCACGTTGTTTATAACCTCTTGCACCCTACCTTTGTTTCCAAAGGTTAGATGACCACCGTGACCACCTTGTTGTGCCTACCCTGCACCCATGTCTTTGTTTCAGGAGGTTGTTAGGACCTTGTGTTCTGTTACTATAACCTGACCTATTTTGCCTGCCAAATCTCCCATTTGGAAACCCCATACCCCTGAGCTATAAAAGCCTTGTCTTCCTTACATCCAATACTGACTTCTTGAACCCTGACTTTGGGGGAGGCAGCCTGTGTACATGAATAAAAAAGCTTAATTTGGCCATGGTGATTTGGGTTGGTGGTCTTTCTCTTTCCATCTTTGGGATTAACAGTAAGGATGTGCCTGCTTCACACTACATCCAAGAGAACACATTAGCACAGAGAACTATTTTAAGAGAATTGTTATTTTCAGAGAATTTTTTGTTTGTTTGGTTTTGGTTTTTTGAGACAGGTATTTTTTTTTTCTGTGACCAGCTGTATCCTCTTCTCTTGTGATACTCCTCAGTTACATGCATGATTGTGAGACTTGGTTTAGAAAAAGCATGGAGACTGAGGAGGTGGCTTAGTGATCAGGAATGCTTGCTGCTTCTCTAGAGGCCCTGAGTTTGGCTAAGGTGGCTAAGCATGCACCCTTAGGTTTTGTTCACAACCTCCTGTAACTCCAGCTCTGGGAATCCAATGCCTTCTTCTGATCTCTTGGTAACCCACATGTTGCACACATGCACATACAGCATACACATACATGCACACGCACACAGACACAGTTAAAGGGAAAAAAGAGCCTGCAGTTTGCAGATGAAAATTCTGGCAAGAGTAGATATCATGGTCTTGACTCTGAAGCCAGTGGTAAGTTGTAATTCCTTCTCAGGCTACTGGCTGACGCGAACGAGACATGCTCACATTAAAGAAGGCGATTTCTTTCAATCTCAGTCTCTCTTTAAAATTGGTGGTAGGGATTGAGCCAAGGTCTTTCAGCATGCTAAGCCAGTACTCTACCACTCTCCCAACCCAAGATCTTTACTTCAAATGTTAAAAATACCTTCCTAGTAACATCCAGATTAGTGTGAGACCAAGCAACTGACACCATAGTCTAGCCAAGTGGAAACAAAATCCACCTCCACAGCTAGTAACTTGGTTAGTTTCCTTCAAGTTGAGCTAGAGATTGATAATAATCCCCATTAAAATTCAAGAATACTTTAAAAAATTACTTACCTGAAATGCACAACATGGTTATGCAGATGAACTAGTTTTGTTTAGAACTATGCAGAGAATTGCTGACATTGAAAGGTCAAGTTCCCATAACCCTCTGACTCTGAAAGGTGGGTTCCACTTGCTGCTGTGTATTAGCTAATATTCCATTCCAGGGGTAGTTTCATATCCTACAATACAAAACATACTAAATGCCAGTTTGCAGTCAGTCACAATTGTGCATTTAATGTATGTTGAACATATTAAATTATTTCAAGTCCCTTGTTATTTTAAGAGAATTGCTTTTGTTTGTTTGTTTTTGGTTTTTTGAGAAAGGGCTTCTCTTTGTAGCCCTGGTTGTCCTGGAACTCATTCTGTAGACCAGGATAGCCTCAAACTCAGAGAGCTCTGCCTCCCAAGTGCTGGGATTAAAGGTATGCACCACCAGTGCCCAGCTTGAGAACTGTTTCTTAAAGAAATACTTCTTTATTATTGCCCTGTCAGAACTATGTGCCCTCTGTAATAACTCTGATCATGAGAATCCAGTTTCCCTATTAATTTTGTTGATGTGCTATACAAGATTGAAGATTTGATTTTATATATATTATGTAGAACCTTGAATTGGGAGCCAGTGAGATGTCACCTTGATTTTGTTCCCTGAGACCTATATGATGGAAGAAGAGAACCACCTCCCATAAATTGTCATCTGACCTCCACACAAACCATAGCACACATATACATATACACCAAAACAAACAAACAAACAAACAAACTAAAACACTTTGAATTGCCTGGGTGTGGTGGTGCCCTCCCTTAAACCAGCACTAGGGAAGCAAAGGCAATGTCTAATTTATTTTATTTTACTATTTTTAGTTTTTTGAGACAGTTTGTGTGTGTGTGTGTGTGTGTGTGTGTGTGTGTGTGTGTGTGTGTGTGTAGC